TTGAACTGCCAGCCTTCTGGTTAGCAGTCAAATGTTTTAGGCACTATGCCACCAGAGCGCCCAATGCCTAACACTTTGAGGAACTGTCAAAATGTCCAAAGCAGCTGCACTGTTTTGCATTCCCACTAACAATACGTGAGAATTGTAATTGTTTCACAGTCTCGGCAATACTTCTTATTGTTGTTTATTTTTTAAAAAATTACAGTCATACTATTGGGTTGAAGTGGTATCTCACTGTGCTTTTCATTTCTTTCTCTGATGATTAGTAATATTGAGCATATTTTTATTTTTATTGACCATTTGTGTATCTACTTTGGAGAAATGTGTAGTTAAATCCTTTGTCCATTTTTAAAATAGGGTAATTTGTGTGCGTGTGCTTTTAAATTAAGTTGGAAAAGTCCTTTATATATTCTGGATGTCGGTCCCTTATCAGAGAAATGATTTATAAATACTTCTCCCATTTTATGGGCTGTCTTTTCATTTTCTTCATGATGCTTTTGAAGCACAAACGTTTTTAATTTCGACAAAATCAATTTATCTATTTTTTAATTTTGTCACTTGGCTTTTGGTATTGCATCTAAAAAGGTTACCTAACCCAAGGTCATAAAGATTGACTCCTGTTTTCTTCTAAGAGTTTTATAGTTTTAGGTCTTCCATTTAGATTTATGATCCATCCTGAGTTCATTTTTGTGCATGCTGTAAGAAAGTATCCAAAAGAATCAATAAACACAGTAGGTTTTTGATACCCACTAACATCTACTAGGGAGCCCTGGTGGTACAGTGGTTAAAGCATTTAACTGGAAGGTCAGCAGTTTGAACCCACCAGCCACTGTCAGAGAAAGGTATACAGTCTGCTTCTGTAGATTTACAGCCTTGGAAACTCTATCAGGTAGTTCTACTCTGTCTTCAAGGGTCATTATGAGTCAGAATTGACTCAAGAGCAGTGGCTTTGGTTTGGTTACCATTCACTTAGAAGCCCTGGTGGCACAGTGGTTAAGTGCTCAGCTGCCAACTTAAAGGTCAGCAGTTTGAATCCACTAGCTGCTGTGGGAGAAAGATAAGGCAGTCTGTTTTCACAAAGATTTACAGTTTTGGAAATTCTGTGGGGCATTTCTAATCCATCCTACAGGGTCACTGTGAGTGGGAATTGACTGAACAGCAATGGGTTTGGTTTTGGTTTATCCTATTGGCCCACTCTACCCACAATGCTATTTCTGACCTCGTGGACAACAACTGTTCTACTTCTTGAAGCTTTAGAAATGGACTTGTTTCAAATAGAGGATCACTGGAAATGTCTGCAGTTTTTGTACTTTACATATGCTCAATTCTTTTAAAACAAAAGTCAGAATGGTCTTAACATTTCCTTTTCATAGAAAAAGAAATAAATACTTTCCCACAATGACTTAGGTTTCTGCAGAGAATTATTGTGACCTTCACTTTACTTTTCTTTCAGAAGAAAAAAAATAATACCCACTGTTTTATTCTCCATCAGGGCTGGCAAATTGGCCCATAGACCAAACCCAGCCTATTGCCTGCTTTTGTACTACCTATAAGCTAAGAATAGATTTTATAATTTTAAATAGTTCAAAAAAAATATTTCATGACATGTGAAAATTATATGAAATTAAAATTCCAGTGTCTACAAATAAAGTTTTTTTGGAGCACAGCTACACTCTTTTGTTTATATATTGTCTACGGCTGTTTTTGTGCTACAGGGCAACACTAAGTAGTTGTGATAGGGACTGCAGAGCTTAAAAGTATTTACTATCTGGCTTCTAAGAGAAAGTTTGCTAACCCCTGCTCTGCATAGTCAGTTAACATCATTGAGTGTGAAACTATTTACTGAATAGATGCTATCATAACAGGCTATTTAGAGAACTACAAAGAAATGAGATGATATATACCTATTTACAACTTACTGGGGAAGGAAAAGAACAATGCTAGTATAACAAACCCTGAAAGCATCATAATAGGGATATATATTTAACCAATTATATATCTATTTATGAGGGCTTTGGAAATTGTTGGACTAATTTAGTTCTTTTAAGGTAGTAATTCTAGAAAAGTATTTTTAACAAAACAAAGGGGGCAATTTTTCAGGAAGGCAGATTCACAAATATGGAAGCATTTAAGCAATAACAGGAAGCTTTGAGTAGGGGCTGCTGCTTAACTGGGTAAGAACCATGAGCCAGAAGGACGGAGAGCATTAAATAGTTTTCTAACACCCCATAATGTAAAAGACAATCATAGCTTAGGTTTTCAATAAAAAGAACGATATGACCAAAATAAAGCTTAAAACAAATGTTTCCCTGCTTTCACTTTTATTCCCTCCAAACCATATAATGTAATGTAAGTCTCATCATATAACTCTCTTGTATAAAATTCTTCAGAACATTACCTTTATCTCTAAGTGAACTTCAAATACCTTAGCCCTGCTTAAAAGGACTGCATGCCCTGGCTTACCTCTCTACTCACCTCTCACGACTCCCATCAGATCTAAGCCATCTCATTTTCTAGCATCTTGAATACATCAGGCTCTCTTTCTCTAATGGCCTTTTCCTTCATGGTTCTCTCTCTAGTATCTTCTTCCTCCTGCTCCCTGTATTTGGCTAATGCATCCCTCAGTTCTCAACTTAGATGCTACATCTGCAGGACGTGCTACTTGACCTCCAAAATCTGGGTTAGGTGCTCTTCCTATGAGCTCTCAGAGCAATTGTTAGCTGTGGATTATACAGCACTTTGCTACTCTGTTTGACAACTGTTTGTGTACCTGTCAGTATCCTCTATGACACTGTACGCTCTGTGGGGGCAGGAACCTTATCTACCTCAGTGCTTAACACAGTAACAGATATGCTGTTGTTGTTGTTGTTGTTGTTGTTATACACTGCTGAGTCAGCACCGACTCATAGTGACCCTTCCTTGGGTTTCCGAGGCAATATCCCTACAGAAGTAGATTGCCCAACCTTCTTTCTGAGGAGTGGCTGGTGGGAACAGATATGTAGGACCTCTAATATATTTGTCAAATCAGTAAGTAAATGAATTAATACAAAGCCGTCCTCATGTCCATGCTACCTACATCTAAACACATATAGCCTTTCCAAATTGTTAGCAGCATCCTGAACATGTTATGCTCTCTCATACCTTCCCCACTTTTGCAAGTTGCTGTTGCCTCTGTATGGAAGACTCTAACCCACTTGAACATTCAGTGAACTCCTAAAAAAAGACTTAATTTTGTTCACTTTTCACATTCTTGGTGAAATCTTCCCTGACCTCTCAAAGTCCTCTCCAATCCCAGGCAAAGCCAGGCCTCCCAACCTCTGTATAATCTCTGTTTGTGTTACAATCATCTCATCATTGATATACCAACTCCCAGGGCTTAGCTTAGCACTTGGCAAATAGTAAACACTTACAAAAAGTTTTCTGAAGCAGAAGGAAATAATAAACAGGCATCTAGGGAGAGAGGCTATATTTAAGGAGATCTATAGGTGATCATAGTACTCCTGGTGGCTCGGTGGTAAAGCACTCAGCTGTTAACCAAAGGTCTGAAAAGTTGGCGGTTTGAACCCACCAGTCTCTCTGCAGGAGAAATATGTGACAGTCTGTTTCTATAAAGATATGCAGCCTTGGAAACCCTACGGGGTAGTTCTATTCTGTCCTATAGGGTCACTATGCATTGGAATTGACTCTATGGCAGTGGGTTTAGATTAGTTTAGTAGGAGACTGTAGGTCCCTGGGTGGTGCAAACATTTTGTGCTCTACCACTAAACCAACAGGTAGCGTAGTGCCTAAGGCATTTGACTGCTAACC